TTTTATAAAATATTTACAGTAAATTTGGTTGAAACGAAATAATAATGTATTAAAATAGATAAATGAAAACCATAGAAAGAGTCCAAAAGCAGTGGTTTAATATTATTTATATGCAACACTTAGAAATGGAAGGAATGATCCTGAAAGACCATTACAATTTTGGCTGTCACCCAAATGCGTTTTTTACCAGACATGTCTCTTTATCAACAAACAAAAAAAAACAAAACAAGAGGACCGTAGGGCGCTCTCCGTACTAACAGAAATTTTTTGTCTACCTTTTCATAAGAACCTTTATACCAAGCGTTTACGATGTTACTGGAACCTTCGACAAAAATGATTAAAATATAAAATTCTTCTAAACAGCTTAAATTTTTACGACGGTAAGCACATGTGATTTTCAAGGGATAATACAAATTTGCCATAAAAGGGTCGTTTTACTAGCCAACAAATGTTCCATTTTTTATACATGAAGCTGTTGTATAAACGAAAGGACGCTGTGGTATATCACAAATCACGTTAGGAGAGTTGAGACAACTGACATTTAGAAAGACAATGTATTTTAAGGTTATCAACAATATCACGGGAACTTTACTTAGATAATACGTTTCTAAATGTCAAGGTGATTACATACTGCTTTAATGATTTTATATTCGATTTCATATTGAAATTAAAATGTGATACATTTATTTTACGCATTTTATTTTACTAGACAATTTAAAGCTGTATTTCTAAGTGTTTTTTCTAGTTTATAAAAGAAAATGAAAATCAGTTTAGCAATATAAATAAATGTACATAGTCAATTGATTTAATATCAAGGTATGTGGGAGTGGGCACTTTGTATGACATATAGTTCTCACAAATTTATAAAATACACTTGAAACGAATTTTTGTCCAATGCCGTTTTACATCCGCTTTATCTGCACAATGCGTTGTTAGGCAGACGGACGTCCCACAAAAGAGTTTAAACACTAAGCTTGCATTTCTTATTGTTAGAATTTCATTAAATGAACACTAGCATATTCATAATACCAAGAAATATAATATTATTATAAAGCGACATAATGCCTTTCTAAACATAAAGGACGAGTTTACTGGAAAGAGTCAAACTACCTTTAAATTTTGCAATTTCTTTTTTTAATATTATCTTAACTAAACAGGTATGTTAAAATAAGCACGTGACTCTCAGAAAAAACAAAACTGAGAATAAAGATCAACAAGGCAACGTTCACGGAGCGCAGACCCCGATTCAGTCAACACTGTAAAAAGTATGTTGAAATGTATTTGTAAGGATCACTTAATAAAAGGAGTTGGACAGTCTTTTTATACTAAGGCCTTTTTTAAGGCCAGATATGAAATATGTACAAGTTTCAACAATAACTAAAATATCAAAATTTGATGTACTACTTATTTACAAATCACTGTTGCTCACGGGAGAATTTGTTGGTTTTTTTTAACCAGACTTACCAAAATAAGAATTCTGAATCGACAGTTTTCACAAACCTCTGCTCGTGTACTCACATGCAAATTACTCGTAAGATAGATAAACAATTGACTTTTACAGCAATAGAAAATACAAACACACAGTGTACTGGATACAATACCTTAGTATACTGGGTTAAACTAGTGATATGAATAAACTGTACTGAGTGAGTATGATAAAAAAAAAACTCAAGAAAACAATCAATATTTGAGTCGTTGTCTGATTTCTTTACTTCATAGAACTTTAACTGAATACTTGAGTGTGTCGCAAGTTGCGTCCTGTGAACGTTGCTTTTGCCTCGTTGATCACTGTTCTCGTTTATTTACTATATTTGACACTTATATGCATGCAAACAAAGCACTTACTCAGTATAATAATGTTTCACTTTCCATGTCTGTCTGTCTGACTGTCTTTCTGTCTGTCTGAAAATAAAAGATAAAATGATAACATTGATGATGATCATGTCGATAATTATGGTGGTAATTATGTTAATTAAGAAGATGATAAAGGCACCCTATAATTTTCGTTGCTAATTTTTTATACATTAAAATGTGTGATGTTGCTTATTATACACCGTACACTTTTGTGCATATATGTTATTGACATACATCATGTACCAAGTACACTAGTGCATTTCTATTTACTAATTTTATTTTTTTAACAGAAAATACATATTCTGAATTTTCTATATATGTATATAGATCTATTTGTGGCAGTTATGCAGGGAAATATGAACAATGTTAAATTAACTGAGAAATCGAAAATTTCTTTCCTTTTGCAATTTTCTTCGATTCTGGTTTGACTTAGAATACGATTATATTCGGTGCAATTCGGTGTGATTTTCTGTGTAAATATATGCAATATTTAGAGTCGGCATTCATTCAACGCCGCCATTCCTTGTTGATCTTGTTTTTAATATTTTATTTGTAATTTATTTTAAGCCAACTTATACATCTTTTTTAAGATGGTGTGCCTGTTGTCACACTTGTCACACTTGAATTACAATGAATGCACATTAAACATAAGTTTTGACACACATCTTTTGTTTTTATCATCTCACTTTTTTCTTTATTGACGTACATTTACATTGTCTAATAACTCATTTCTTCTTGCCTTATATAGTATGATTCGAGTTGTCTCTCTTTTTCCTGCTGTTATCGTAAATTGGAAGCATATTGTTACATTTATTGAAATAATGTGACAATTAAACTTTCTTTATTCAAATAATAATTGAAGACAAAAATGCTCGACTTTTTTCTTACATATTAGCGACAGAGTAGACAGAGTATCACATTTATATTTTGAAAATCAAAGATCCATTATATGATCCATTATTTACAATTGGGAATTGCAATTCAGTGAAATTAACTGCTATTGCGGGCATAAAAGCTTTTAAAGTTTATTTAGAATTTATGTAGTTTAGGGGGAAAATTAATGTTATGTTACAAATGACGTAGGATTCTTAAAAGTAGAAATCGGTTAACTCCTGGATCAGACAAATGGAATCACTGACTTTATATAGAGGACAATATTCTTGAAAAAAGACATACAATATACAACAAAAAAAGGAAAATCCAGTTTACCTTCACAAGAAATCAATGTCAACATATCTTATCTCACATCCTAAGCTTAATATACAGAAACATTTTTATAGGTTAATATGTCAAAAAGGCACATATGGTTGGAAAAAAAAACTTCATCATTTTACGATTAATGTAATTATTTGCAATCATTTTTCAGTCATACAGAGCTTTTTGCACGAAATTGTTTTTTTATTTACGAACTTATTCATTATACCTCTTATACAGATTCATTCAAAGAGATTATGCAATTTTCATGTAATTTTGTTGTGACATATGCTTCCGAGGGATCACTTTGTTTCCAGAATATTTAATTTTTTAACAGAAAAAAATTCATAATACTAATAAAATAAATTTTCTGTAAAATGTCACATCTTTAATTTCTTTAGGCAGCGGATAGATCAAGTTTGCTATAGATCAAGAAATAACTTGGTGATGTAATTTCTGTAAAGTCTCTTTTTTCCCAACAGAAATATACATTACATTCCACTGGATCTAATTAGGTCTAATTGAACTGTTAATAAAAGAAGCAAATGAAGACATAACTGCAAAGGACGACAATAAATTCGTGAAATATGTTGATTTTAACACGGAAGTAAAACAGAACTAGGTTATTGGGCTTGATAACATTTTATTGATCAATTCTATAAAATAGAAGTAATTGGAAAGTGAATAAACATTTCAACCAGGTCAAACATGGATAAGACAACAAATAAGACGACAAATAATAAGTCAGCAAATAGAAAATATAAAAATCAAGATCGACAAGGAAAGGCGGCGTTGAATGAACGCAACGCGCGCACGAACCAGTGAAAAGGAGCACGGGAGGACCCAAACAAAACCAGGACAGGGCGCAAATCAAATTCATGTTGTAGACATCTTACATGGGTGAATACGAAAACTGATGTTGAGTCTTATCTCGTGGAATTTGTGTTTGAAAGGTAAACAAGAAAACCAGAAAGATAAAAACAGAAATATTTAAGAGATACCTTCTTACAAAGTGTCATTATCATATCAATGTACAAGTAATAAAATGGCATTCAATATCATTATCGATGTAAGAATCTCAAAGTGTCTAGTTGAAAAAAAGTTCCCGTTATGAAAGTCCAGAACGGCCGAACTATTGACACTGTTGCAGCGCCTGTTGATAGATGCAAGCTACCTTCCATGTATACTCTAGCACCGACTTAAGCAGAATTTAACAAATATGAATTGGTTAGATTCTGGATTTAGAAACATTGGCATATGTCTTCCCATTATCACTTCCGTAAATAAACATCTGCGGATGGTTTGAAAGTAAAAACATATTTTCATCTCTACGAGAAATATCACATTCTGCTGAAGCCGGGTGGTCGATTGCTACTTCCACCAATTTACAGGCTTAAAAACGCTGTTGAGTGATCAAGGCGCAAAGAAATTTCTTTGATCAATAATTTCAAGGTAATACTAAATATCAATTATGCACGTAAACATCTTTGTCACATCAAGCGTGATGTTATGGAATTAAGTTGACATATCATTGGTAATTTATTTGCAGACACAGGGAGTGGTCTTCTTTAAGTCTTAGGTATTGATATACTTCCGATAAACAACGTCTGATAACCATTGGCATGCGTATTTCTATGAATCATTATGATATATCGTCTTAGAATAAAAAGGCCTGAATGAACGAAAAATGAATTATATACGATTGAGTAATGATACACTAAGGAATAGAACTATTTTATCAGTATCAGCATTAGACGTTTTTGGATATGATAAGGGGAGGCGTATAATATTCTTGCAAAAGCAGTATTGATTCAAAGTAGGCTGCAGGAGTCAATTTAAGTGGCGAAAAGACAGTTCGCTATCGTTGAAGCGTAATTATCGGAAAATTTTCGTCAAGCAGACGGATTGCAACGACTTTCTGGTAGCAAAGCCAATTCATGTTGAGACTTTGTATTGTTAAGACGCTCTATACGCCTGTTCATCACAGAGCAACCAATACACTGGATGATTTTTGCGTTAATAAATCAATTCTGAATATCAAGTGGAAAATATACTTGAAGACGCTATAAGAACAGCTTTAAGCGAGTTCACATCGTCAATAAATTCAGTATTGAGCTGAAAGTTGGTAGCGACACTTCAAGTATATACAATTGAAGAACTAAATATCTTTATATTGCGAGAAGACTTACTTACCTAACAAAGGTGATAAAAGCAAGGATTCTGTAATATATAAGGATGTCAGAAACTTTGATAAACTAAATATTTGTGAATAAATATGGATAACGAAACATGCTACAAATCTCGTACGGACGAAGGGTTGTTTACAAATGCCAACTTCTGGACACTTTGGCTAAGTGCAATACCATTTGTTGTTATATTTGTGTTGACAGTAACAGCAAATGGGGCTGTGATAATAATGTTTGCAATTAAAGTGAAATTACGAAAGTGTAGAAATACATACATTATGAGTTTAGCAGTGGCAAACTTTCTCATCGGACTTACAATGCCTATTTCTATACTAGAAACACTTGGGGAAAAATGGATTTTCAGCGAAAATGTTTGTACATACTTTCTAACGATAAGGTACTCGTTGTATTATGTGACAATCTTAAGTATAATCCTCATTACGGCGGACCGGTGGTGGTCCGTGAACTTTCCGTTTTCTTACAGAATCCGAAGAAGCAAGAAAATGGCGCTTTCATTAGCAGCTGTAATTTGGATATTAAGTTTCGTTATTCACATTCCGTCAATAGTTGGTTGGAATCTTTTACATGTACATACAGTCAAGCTTCATAATTACTGTCGGGTACCCTACGAGTATAATCCTGGTTTTACTTTCTCGGCATCGGTGATAGAATTTTTCATTCCGCTTATATTGCTCATTTCACTTAATATGGGGATTTATATAAAACTTTCAAGACGGAGGAATAGTAAAAAGATTCGCAGATCTTTGAGTACATCTGAAGGACATACAATTTATGGACGTAAAACATCATCTGATTCAGATAATAATAATATGTCAGATGATAAAAGTGAAGTGTTTTCTGCTTTGAACTTCAGAAAAGAACCGCGAAGATATCAATCATCGTTGTCCGCTATGGTGCGTATAAATGGTGAAAAAAATAACTTTTCTCTTGTGTCAGCGAGAATGTTTGCTGCTCAAAGAAACACCACCGTGCGCCGGCTATCTTGCGAATATGCCAACATAATGGCGTCGATACAGCGAAAATATTCTAGTTCACGACCTGTTTCGAGAACCAGCGTGTCGAAAACGAAACATCACGATGATATGGTGAGAGACTTTTTACTTCGTCAGGACAACAAAGCGCTTCTTTCATTAGCCTTATTGGTAATAACATTTGTGATTTGCTGGACACCATCAATTCTTTGTGATATTTTGTACGCATTTTGTCCGAGTAAAGTACCGATGTGGCTTATCATTATGTCATATTGGGTTTTAGCGCTTAGCTCTTTATTGAATCCATTTTTATACGGAATTGGGAGTAACGATTTTAGGCGATTAGCAAAACTTTTAATCTGTGAAGACAAGAAGAAGAACCGAATACTTGAGAATATGTTGTACAATCAACTTATCCAGCCTTGTGATCTTATAACAATGAAAGGAGAAATCTTTGAAAATAGAAGGACAAACTCTATCAATAATGTTAGCTATGTATAATCAAACAGTGATGAGGCTTCATTGAAAGACTAGCGAAACGGATATTAAAATGACTTGCCGAGAATATATTTGGTGCTTAAATAGATTGTTTTGCCAAAGAATTGGAAGAAATATTTCTAGATAAAATACATTCGATGTGGACAATCATTTGAAGTAACAAACACAAATGTGTATATGACAAAGTAGTACATATATTATATAAATCAGTATTTTTCCATTATTTTAATGTTTCAGAGTTATATTTATTCTCTTTTGTCGAAGTACAATATTTATTGCATAATGAGGTAAAAGGGACCACATTTATTAAATTTTTAACATAACTCGAACTTTTTTGTTGTGATTTTTTGTATAATTTTATTTGAAATTGTAGTAATAACTTATGTGAAAACTTTCACATCATTTGCTCTCTCTCTCTTTATTTTTATTTACTGATTAATTATTTTGATAATGAAAAACTTTCCGCCAAAAAAAAGGTTTAAACGTTTTAAACGCAAATCGGACTAAGAGAGCAGAAGAAAAATACAAATATATATATATATTTTTATTTGCTTTAAACAATTTAGAACGTTTCTAGCATAATACATTGACTGATAAAGTAGTCAACAGCAACAATGCAAAAATAAATTGTTATCCAATTTGGACTAGCGGTCTGAACCTCTTGTCTTTGTTTGCATTTACACATATCTCGTTAGTGGACCCAGTAACTTTCGACTTTATAATTTAGTGCTTTTTTACCTAAGTGGAGTTCTTTTATACCAGAGATGGTATTATTTTTGATGTGATTGTACTGTTATTTCATTGACCACAAACTATTAAGTTTAAGTTTTGTAAAGTATTTGTATTTTTATACATTATCAATAAAAGTATTAACGTATTACCATTTGATTACATAGTTTATACGTTGTGCATATTCAACAACTTGTTGTTGTTTGAATGATGTATTAATTTTGTTGTTAAGTTTGTCTATTCAAACTGTGAGATATGGATTCATAAAATGAAAATAAACATGTGAAATAATAATACATTTTTCAGTTTTCTTTTATTCAAAAGATAAAAAAAAATAAAGTAACCCATCGGATACAAGCGTTAAAGGGAGACACAAGCAAACTTTTCATAGCTTCGATTTGAATTTATCATCCAACATTCTATAAAATATAATGTCCATTAAATGAATTCACTAAGCAGTATAGGGAACATAATTTTTATCTTTATAAAGAAAAAATGTAGGTTTCCTAACCTGGTCCACGTGGGTCAGGTTAGAACATTTTGATGTCACGATAGTTATAGCAGTGAACTTTGGAAACGTTAAAATACCTGTCAAATGAGCGGCGTGGGCTTGTTTCAATCTTACAATGTCCATAATATTTGGTAAGCGAAAATCGTCAAAATTTCCATTTGCGCCGGATGGCAAAATTTCGGGGTGTCTTTAGAAGAAAAAAAAGGTATTGACGCATTTTCCATAAAATTTGCCTGTGGCTAGATATTAAGACAGTAAATACGTATTTTTTACCGGAAAATGGGCCCAACCCTCGTTATAAAAGCTTAGTCTGGTAGACAATCCACTTTTTTCTACAACTTGTTGTGTGTAAATAATTCAGAAGTACACGATACCACTTTCATTACATAAGATCTAAACGTCTGTAAGCCGTTTAAACTGCTTATTGTACATGAGTTACTTTAATATATTACTTAGTAAAACCTTTTTCTTCTGAAAAGCAATACATCTATCGTTTTATTCCTCCAGATGATTTTAAGTAATAGAAAGAGCACCGAAACACGAGGTTATCTGATTTGTACGAGGGGGCGTAGCCCCCGAGTATTAATCAGATTACCGAGTGTTTTGGTGTTCTTTCTCTTTTGTATCATAGTCAAACATAAAAACACATTCCCTGTTGTTACAATATGAAACCCCGGCAAAAATGAGCCAATCAATGGGCATGCTCTGGAGTGCGGGTAACTAATACCCGCACTCCAGTTAACGCACTGTGCATGTATATGTATACGATTTAACCCTGACACATTTTCAACAGAAAGGTCTCCAAACTATGATACAATATGTGTTTATACAAGACAGTGGGCGTTCTGATAATACCGATATAATATATATGAGTGGTTAGCGACTTATTTCTTATAAACTATGAGAGTTTATGAAACTATAGAACTAGTTATTATGCTTAGTCGCACTTTTATCCCGATCAAGATTTCTCTGGAAATGGAAATTGAAATACAAAGAGAACGTACATATCAGAAAGTCAAAGTTATTATACTGTCCGTTTTTAATGTATTTTGAATTTCACATAACAATTCGTCCTTTAAAGGTCCATTAGGTCTTAAAGATTTTCAAAAGGCTTTTTATTTCTAAAAAGTTACTGTTTGATGATATAGCTACTTTTACTTCCCTCGCTTTTGGAAATGATTACAGTTTTTGTAAGTATTTTGTACGAACGGAAGTAGACGTAGCACAGTGACTTTGTTGACAGTTTTTGACCTTTATAAGAGATTATTACACATTTTACGCTATTTATTTTAGGTGATAAACATCTGAAGTGTTTTACTCCATAATTACACCATAATAAGAACCAAGGTTGTCCATTTTTACAGAAACATTTTTTCTAAGGCTAAATGTGCCTTCCAGATGATTTCCATCTTTAATTAGAGTTTGTTGAAAGCTACCGTAAATATAAACAAGATTCTCCGTTCAATAAACCGATATTCCTTTTGAAAATTGAGTCCAGGCCGTATTCGTATCATTAAAATTCGATGTTGGATGCTCGGTAACTCTATTCATGATCGGAGGGTGATCGATTACGGTTTTATTTGATTAAAAACTTTGATGATGTAAAATTTAGCTGTACGCATGCACTTGCATTATGTAGAGAAAAAAATAAGAGATGTACTATGTTCAAATGTGATATTGGAAAATATTGATAATAGTTTTTATTGCTACACAGTATTTGTAAATATAAAATAAACATATTTTGACTTCAAACGAAGTAGATATGTAATGCTTAAAACTCAATATGAATATATAGTGTCATGAAAAAATGGCAGTTTTTTTAAAGATAAGAGCAACTTTGCTTGATAATAGGGAACTCAGCTTTCCATACATAGCTAATTTATTCTTTTATTCAAAAATAGAAATATTCAGCAAGAATTTAATAGATTTCAATAAATTTATTTGATTAAAATATTTTACTGGAGGATGAGCATAGTGTATTTTGAATCATTTAAATGTTTGAAGGGTATTGCTGGGACTAGAAAGTGTATGTTCCAAAAGTCACGTTCATGCTAACATAGCTAATCATCATACCATTATAATTATTATGTTAATAAATATCAAGCAAGAAATAACTTTTATTAAAATATCATTTCCTTCGCCATTTACATGTTCAATGCACAACTTTCAATAATTTCTGATTAAACTAAAACGTTTCGCTTTTCTTTCGCCCAAATGTCAGCCACCCCAAGCCAGCCCTTTTCTGTATCCGACTCTAACACGTTTGAAGTTAGAGTTTGAAAAAGATATGGCTTTTGTTGGTTTTAAATGATGCTATAATACCGGCAATGTATTTACAACGTGTGATGTTTCAGAAGAAAATAGCATGTATTAAATGAGCCGCGTCTCGACAAAACCAACATAATGGTTTAGCGACCAGCATGGATCCAGATCAGCCTGTGCATCCGCGCAGTCTGATCAGGATCCATGCTGTTCGCTATCAGTTTCTCTACTTATAAAAGAGTTTGTAAGCGAACAGCATGGGTCCTGATCAGAATGCGCGGATGCACAGGCTGGTCTGGATCCATGACTGTTGCAAACCCATTATGTTGGTTTTGTCGTGACGCGGCTCAAATGTTTAAAAAGTTGTCATACAGTTAAATATAATGTTAACAAAGTGGTATTTTGACTTCCATACAAAATACTATAGCAGTATACGTGTATTATTTGTAAAAACGCAAAAATACGTATATGATGACTAACTTAAATATATAAAACGAATCACTTTTTGTGGAAATGTAATAATACACAAAAAGAGACTTTTAAAACGTAAAAAATGATTTCATTGTTTAGGCTTAATTGGTTGCCTTTACACTGTAGAATAGAAAATTTTGCAATTCATTTTTATTCAGTCAAAATGTGAACGAGAATGGAAAATGCAAGCCATCGTTCACGCCTCGAGCATGTACGTATGTTTATTATAATACATTTGAGCCGCGTCACGACAAAACCAACATAGTGCTTTTGCGACCAGCATGGATCCAGACCAGCCTGCGCATCCGCGCAGTCTGATCAGGACCAATGTTGTTCGCTATCAGTTTCTCTAGTTGTAATAGAGTTGGTAAGCGAACAGCATGGATCCTGATCAGACTGCGCGGATGCGCAGGCTGGTCTGAATCCATGGTGGTCGCAAACCATATTGGTTTTGTCGTGATACGGCTCATTTTTTGTAATGCCAGAGCTCACTTAGAAAGGAAAATACGACACCATTCATCGTTAGAAAAGGTACTTTCTTTTTCAATAAGATGTCATTTTTATTCTGTCATGCAACATATATAACATATACTAAATTTTTCAAGTTATGATAGTTTCAATCGTTAAAATGTTTTGATGTTTTTATCTTGACTTTTAGCTTTTTACTTGGAATCAATGTAAGCTCTGGAAATTCTATTAACTGACCTAGAAGAGCAACATTTCGTTACAGAGTTCAACGTATTATTTTTAGAAATGATATTTCACAAGTTTATAATTACGATTACAGGTGAGAAATAATAAACATATTAATATAAAAAAGTAACAACAATGTCACGTTTTGCATAAAATTAGCAGTAAATGATCTCGTTGCTAATATGTTTAGTACTGGTTAATTATCAGCATGTAATATTGTTCTTGTTTTAGTAAATCTGCAAGATACATAATCAAATTTCAGTCATCAGTTTTCATGTATTGACATCACATTTAGTGTGTTAAAATTGATATTTCTATTTAAAGTGACAGCTTATATTACACAAGAGCATTTATATCTTAACTTTTTTCTGTTTACAGCATAGTTTAAAATTTCGTTGCATCATGCAATTCTTTTTAACATTCCTGGGTATATATGAGCTGCGTCATGACAAAACCAAAAAATGGGTTTGCGACCATCATGGATCCAGAACAGCCTGCGCATCTGCGCAGTCTGATCAGGATCCATGCTTTTCGCTTACAAACCCTATTACAAGAAGATAAACTCATAGCGAACAGCGTGGATCCTGATTAGACTGCGCGGATGCGCAAGCTGGTCTGGATCCATCCTGGTCGCAGACCCATTGTTTTGGTTTTGTCGTGAGGCGGCTCATATATAGGTTATTGAATACACGACGTTTGCACTATAATTCCAATCATGTCATAAACAAAGAATGCTCGTTTGTGACTCGTTGATTCTAGTCTAATGTACACTAGATGTATCTTTATTAGAGCCGCGTGATGACAAAACCAACATAATGGATTTGCAACCAGCATGGATCCATGCTGTTCGCTGTCAGTTTCTCTTCTTGTAATAGGGTTTGAAAGCGAACAACATGGATCCTCATCAGACTGTGCGGATTAGCAGGCTGTTCTGGATCCATGCTGATCGCAAACGCACTATGTTGGTTTTGTCATGACGCGGCTAATTTATTTTTAATTTTTTTTCTTTGATCGATGAAATCGGATTTCATTAAACCTTATCTATGATGTTTGCAATGACTTTGTCGTAGATCCATTGATATATTACATCTCGTGTTTCCAAAGTGAAATATATATTGATCTTTCTCTAAACTAATAAAATAGTAGGTTTATCTTACTAAATATAAAACGGGAATCTTTTTGAAAATAAGCATTGTAAAAAAACTTTTTTATAAACCAACTAACCATTTTAATGTGTTTAAAGGCGACCATTTTTTGCAATCACGCTCTCATTAGTTTAACAATTTGTACTGTGTCACGTTTTGCTTTCAAAATAAGGATAGTGATA